GTAGTAGTAGTAGTAGTAGTAGTAGTAGTAGTAGTAGTAGTAGTAGTAGCAGCAGTAGTAGTAACAGTAGTAGTAGTAACAGTAGTAGTAGTAGTAGTAGTAGCAGTAGTAGAAGTAGTAGTAGTTGTAGTAGCAGTAGTAGTAGCAGTAGTAGTAGTAGTAGTAGTAGTAGTAGTAGTAGTAGTAGTAGTAGTAGTAGTAGTAGTAGTAGTAGTAGTAGTAGTAGTAGTAGTAGTAGTAGTAGTAGTAGTAGTAGTAGTAGTAGTAGTAACAGTAGTAGTAGTAACAGTAGTAGTAGTAGTAGCAGTAGTAGCAGTAGTAGTAGTTGTAGTAGCAGTAGTAGTAGCAGTAGTAGTAGTAGTAGTAGTAGTAGTAGTAGTAGTAGTAGTAGTAGTAGTAGTAGTAGTAGTAGTAGTAGTTGTAGAGGAAACTTCTGTGTAGCAATGCAGTGGGAGTCACCGACTCAGGAAGGAGACACGGGAAGAGCAGTAGCTTTGATGTCAAACACATGATGGTTTATTTGGAGTTAACGGCCGGAGGATTCACATCACAAGTCCAAGAGTCAGAGGTTCTGACTTCACGGTAGAGTTGCCACGTCAATTCTGGAGAGCCTCTCTCTTGCCAGCCCATCTAACTGGTTTCGCAGAGAGTAAACAACATATTTGAGGAGATAGCCTAAACAGTGTGGGAACACAGAGCTACTTGCCTCGGACACTTATGACCTCGAAGATTTTACCTTGGAGTCCACAAATACAGAGAAGGAAGTGTCCCAGTGTACCCACAACACAGACCATCTGTGACCCAGTATTGACCGGTCACAGAATGGGAACAATAACATTATTGGCTAAGCCGCCTGTGTCCTTAAAGAAGGTAAACAGACATCGAGGTTTGTCCTGTATGTTACTAATTGGCGTCTTATGATAATTATTTCCACAACAGTCCTCTCTTTTTATCATTTATGATAACCTAAAAACATTAGTCTAATAATAATTTGGTCAATAATTAACTCAATAGGCGTCTCCAGGTTCGAGTGTGGTCTCACCTTACATCAATTATATCACAAAGTGGAATAAGATTGAAACATTCAATCACAATGATTGATACAGCCAATCATAATAGGAAAAATCATCTCTCATCAGTGTTTGATCATCTTTTGTCAAAAGCATAATAATGAACACACATAAAACACAGGTGCACAATGGCTAAATATTTGTTTTTAAACTAATATATTTGATCATTTACCATTAGTTAATTTCATTCATCAAACTATAAAATCAAAACCAGCTTGCCGCTTTAAAGATTTACTTCAAGGCAATCACTAGTCAAAAGCATTTTAAAACTCAGGATCGTAAGAGATCCAGCTACAAATGTACAGTTAGAGTATAGAATTCACAATGGTGATTTGATCAATCTGTAATCTGCAAAAGTGCAGTGTCCTCAATTTTAGGATTACTTTTACGTTTACTTAAATACGCTTTAGTCAAGAGTAAGGCACTTAGTGAAATCAATACATTCATTTTATTCAAGTACATTGTTCAAAATCTGAAAAGGAAAAGTTAGGCAAATATTCAAAGACGTTTGTAAAAACCTGGAAAGGAAGGATTAAACATTTTTAAACCTTGAATTATTACATTTGTAAATGCTACCACTGATCTGTACCAAATTAAGTCTATCAAGTATTCCTATTAGCCATACTTACCTGAGCTACTTATGGTACTTGGAAAGGATTCTTCTGTGTTTATCTAATGTTGAGAATATCAATTTCTTTAAATTATACTTCTCTAATTTGAGGATCAAATATGCTACATAATTGTTATATGAAATATTATAAATATTTGTTTTGGGCCAAAACTGAAATTAATCCAGTACTTGAAACATCATTGTAGGTCTTTCTATGCATGGATAATACATTAAAGAGTAGTGTTGTTAAGCCTGATTGCTGGATTCAAATCCACTAGAGTGCATGTACCTATCCAGAGGGGAGCCAGAACTTGATAGAGCTTGTCGCCGCACAACCAAACGTAATCTTGTGGCGAGCTAAACCCCACATCACTGGGCCAGGCCAGTTGTATTGCTCACGGTTGCGTTGTCCCAGGCGAGCCGTCATCACGAGGTGGGAATGCTCCATGGGGTGTGTGTGTGTATTCCTTCGGTCGATTTTGTGACACGGACAGTCAGACTCCGCACACCGGTAACACAAACGAGGAACCAGAGAGCATATGGAACCGCTCAGCTGGCACTTGCTCGTGATACCTTGTGTGTAGTGTGTTTTGGTGTATGTAGTGCAAGTGTGGTGCAAGTTGGTGATTAGGACACATCACTTGTTGTCATCTACTTTTGTTGGTGATTAGGACACATCACTTGTTGTCATCTACTTTTGTTGGTGACTAGGACCTTGCAGTGGCTGGCGTGGACCCACGTAGCTCTCTCTCTGACCCTTGGCCTTCAGAGCTGTCCTACTGTAGTTATTGGGTTAACACTTGATAGGGATGTTTTCCTGAGTGCAGACAACTCAAGGTAATGGATTAGCACATTATCATTTAAATACAAAAATAGGATAGGCCCCTCAGAATTATTTGGGAGCCTTCCTGAGACATGCACATGCATAAATGTAAGGTTTGTGTTAGTCATTTAACATGCAAGAATCATAAACTCATCAGTCCAAAGTAGAGAAATGTTATTGTAATTTAAAGGTGAGCTAGTCCCTGCGGATATCACCCCTTCTCAATGATTCTAAATGTTATATTAATTCACCATTTACCGTTTGATAACATATTAGTTTATCAGAAATAAATGTTCCAATATAAAATCAATTACTCAATATAATTGACTCTTCCCTCCCTTTTCTTACATATGTCTCATATGAAATAATAACTTAGGAGTCTATTTAAGCATGGTGTAATCTATTAATCGAGAAGACTCAGTATCACCTGTGTGCAGCTTACAAAAAAACAAACAATTGTGAGAAACATATATTATGCAGGAAATGTATACCTTTGTTGAAAAACAAAGCATATCTGATTTGGGAGGAAAAGCTTCTTCCCCCTAACATCTGAGTCACTACTGATGGCATAGCATAAATGATAGTGGGTGTCTGAGGGTGTTTTTACTGAGAAATGTCAAACACATTCAAAACCTTACATTTGAAAACAGGTTTGCATTCCTTCTCTTAAAATGACGTTATCATTGGAAACAATAAAAGCTAATTGTTTTGATGTAGAATCTATCAATTGAATCGTTAGAGCAGAACAGAATGGTCGTATTGTAGCCTGAGTACCGTGCAGCCTTCAGTTTCACCAGGTGGAAACATTGTCCATATAATGGGAATACATGTAGAACTAGACATTTAAGAGGCCCCTGACATTTAGGCCTATTTTAAAAATAGTAGGGGCTTTTAACAGCTTGCCAACCTACAGGCATCCTCTGCATAGCAGTATGAATAGCCTTAAAAAAACAACCCACTCTGCGGTAACGAGAGTCATATTTCTGAACCAAATGCCCTAAGTTAAGCCGTTAGTCCCATCTGACTGACCCAAGGGTTGGTGCTGGTGTGACCGGGAGGCTTCCAGGTGTTCTTTCAGTTCATGGCTTGGTGGGGGGAGTGGCCCACGTTAGACAGTATTGTTCAGTTTGAGGAGCGGCATTGTCTCTGGAAGCAGAAACAGCAGTAGTAGTAGTAGTAGTAGTAGTAGTAGTAGTAGTAGTAGTAGTAGTAGTAGTAGTAGTAGTAGTAGTAGTAGTAGTAGTAGTAGTAGTAGTAGTAGTAGTAGTAGTAGTAGTAGTAGTAGTAGTAGTAGTAGTAGTAGTAGTAGCAACCCTGTTTAGAAAAGTAAACATTGTTCTGTCTACGATTGTATGACTTAGGATAAAAATGACTGTTTTTCCCCAGACTACAAGCAGGCCCTGCTGGCTGTAGCTGGGAGCGTGGCGCTGTCAGTCCTCTGCTGCCTCTGCTTCTGCTGGATGAAACGCAGAAAAAGTGAGAGTTTCTCAATCACGCTTCATTGAAATAGAGATGCATGTTATTGCAACAGACCATAGTAATCTTTTTGTCTGTTAATTTCTCACAGGAAAGAAACTTGCCCAACTAAGGTCAGTGTCGAAATGTACTCATTGAAAGCAGCGACACCCATTTATGCACAATCAATGTGAAAGTTTATTGCTTTTGTTCCTTAAAACGTTGGTATTTAGTTCACTGAATCATTCTGTCAAGTATTTTCCAAGAATGCAACCTTAATTATATACAGTACTTTACTTTACAAAAACATAACATAGTAGAATAGATAAAGTGGTTTACGTAAGTTGCAGGAATAGGGAAAATGTAAGTAATTGTTCCAAAAATGTGGATGTAAAATGAAATACTGTACATTAGAATATATTCTGCACACTGAAATAATGTAGATGTCGATACAAATATGTGACTCTATTAATCAATGTGTGTGTCCTTCATAGGCAGCCTGAGGAAGTGACAAGTCCGTTCTCTGAGGGACAAACATGAAGGACAAGTGGGACCTCATTTATGTCTTAATAAAATATATACTGACTGGAATAAAGTATAAATTGGATTCTTTTGAGTAAATTATTAACATTTAATGTAAGCAGTCACCGGCTGTAAGCATTTTTTCCTGATATATTGTATGTTAAAGCTTCATTGGGTTATTCTGTAGGGATAAATGTAAGTGTGTATTTGTGTGTACATGATTTATTTGTTCTCAGATCATATGTAAACATATGTAATAACATTAAGGGTGCATTTCTGTGGTATTATTGTTAAAGAAACATTAAAATGAATAAAACTAATTAAAAAAAGTTTGTATGATGATGTCTGTATGAGTTTGATGCATGTGTATATGAGTGTGTGTGTGTGTGTGTGTGTGTGTGTGTGTGTGTGTGTGTGTGTGTGTGTGTGTGTGTGGCTGTGTGTGTGTTCCCAGAGAGTTATGGGTGGTATAGTATTGTCCTTCCTGAGAGGAAGTTACGGCAGATGTGATATTACAAAATTGGACATTTCCACTTTGCCATTGATCGTCAGCAAAGTCAATGCAACAACAAGATTGAGTGAAGACAGATATGATGGTAAGACCTGTGATATATCGGTGTTGTAAATTCACGTTTATGTGCAAGTATGAAAATAACTCTTTTGATTTCAGATGTTTCAACGATCAGTTGATACCAGACAAGGCCTGCATCACATTCTGCTGATAGCTGCACTCATTGGATTTGTCCAAGGTAGGTTTACGTACTTTTACAAATTATTTTATCTCTTGTTTCTTCACTAGTTTAATTTTCGTATCATCATCCTTTGACCTCATCTTAGACCTGAGCAGCGGAGGAGGAGCGCATGCATGGAGCTACAACTTCAACATCAGTTCAAACCGTCAATGGCTGGAGGCCCGTCAGTGGTGCCAGCAGCACTTCACAGACATGGTGCCCATCAGGAACCAGGAGGAGAGTGACTTCATCAACAATTTGCTACCTTTTAACACAAAATATTACTGGATAGGCATAGGCAAAAGGGAGGGAGAGTGGGTCTGGAAAAACACAGACGAGAAGGTGCCAGAAGATGCTCAGAACTGGGCGGTGGAGGAGCCAGATAACATCGCCGCTCAGGACTGTGTGGAGATTTACATCAAGAGGGTTAAAGACACAGCCAAGTGGAACAATGAGAACTGTCTCAAGAGGAAGGGAACCGTCTGCTATACAGGTTACATTTATTTATTTATGATTGACACATAAACTGACTCCAGATGTATTTTAGCATGTGAGATGCAAATGCAGAAACTATTTTGTAACAGCAACAAGATGTTATCAGGCAACAGGAGAAATATATATATCTATTCTTTCACACACACATGCGGGTATTGGGCCGAGCGCGACACCGTACTTCCGGTATCCGCCGTTTTACGCGAGGTGCAAGCAGCCTTACACCGTCTAGGTGTTGCTAAGCTTCCTGTACTGAATATCATAGTCTATTGCCTTAATCAATATATAGTCAACTCTAAAATACCACATATATGCAATGGCATGATAATATTATTGTGACAAGTGGGGCATTCACCTGGTGTTTCCAGAAATTAGACGTAGATGCAGCCAAAATCGACGAAGGCCACTGTTGTTTTTCCATACATCTGCAGGCAGTCTGTAAGGGCAATCCGACAACCCACATAGCTCTAGTTTACGCTGGTAACGACCTAGAGCACACCCCTCAAATCCAGAGATGTAATCCGAAGACATGCAGCGATTTCTTCGGTCGTTAATTCAGAAAAAAAATCTAGTGCGCTCTGCATGGCTACGTTACCTAGCTGTTTATATTAGCACCTCCAGGATATTTGCACCTCCAGGAAAATGGCGTATTTATATATATATATATATGGCGCGTGTTGCATTGTGGGTAGCTCGTGACGTCACTGTGTGTGAAAGAATTGAGCAAAATGCAATAAACACCTTTTTTCTTTTTTAAATTAATGTTATTACTGTCTGCTACATCACTACTTGCATATGTTTAGTCACTTTTTTTACAATGCTGATACTTGTGTTTTTTTAAATGGCTGTGAACTTATTGGATTTGATTTCATTAACGTGTGCTTGCTCTTCTTTAAATCAGTCTATTCATTTTATTTTAGCTTTTTATCTGCACCTACCCTTTGCTTTAACAATATAAGTTGTTCGACAAATTCAGGATTTCTAATTATTTTTCTAAATCTGAATACAAATAATGCATACGTTTGAATATACAATAGAACGATCTATTAATGAAATACAATCACGGGATGCTTGATACTTTATAAACGTGTGCTCAGTAGTTGCTTCTTTCTCTATGTACGCAGCTTCTTGTAAACCAGAGTCCTGCAGTGCCAATGCAGACTGTGTGGAGACGGTGGGTAACTACTCCTGCCAGTGCCATCCTGGTTTCCTGGGGTCACGCTGTGAAGAGGGTGAGCAACATTTTAAACCACTCATAACCTTTTACTCTGAGTATAATAAACTGTCTAAAAATATATTGTTTTTCTTCTTTAGCAATCGCGTGCAAACCCCTGCTGGACCCAGAACAAGCTTCCAGCTACTGTTCCCGTCCCTATGGGTCAAATCGTTTCAACTCTTCCTGCCGTTTCCTCTGTGATCTCGGCTTTCGCATTGTGGGCGAGTCCCCTCTGCTGTGCCAGGCCAGCGGACTGTGGACCCACCCTGTTCCTCTGTGTCAAGGTACAACTGGGGACCAACAATGTCAAAACTGTCCCAGCTAGTGGAGCAGGGTGGACCCAATGCTGAGGGCAGGAAGACTTAACAGAAAATACCTTTATTTAAAAGGTTGGGTACAAAAAAAGGCAAGGCAAAAAAAAAACAGAACAGACACTGTACATTGTACATCAGTTTAATATTTAATATTCCATCTGTCACATACTTATGTATATATATATATATAATACCTTGCTTTATATCTTGTTATTGTTCATTTGTAAATTCAACATTTTTATTTTCTACTTTCTTGTTTATTTCTTGTCTTTTAATTTGTATTGTACAATGCCATGACTTTTTATGCTGCAACACAAAAATGTCCCAAATTGGGATCAATAAAGTACTATCTTATCTTATCTTATCTTAATACATGTTGCCCGATGTACACAAATCTGAAAAAGACTTAACAAAAAAAACAGGACCTTAATACAAGCAGAACTGGATAAAGGAGGGGTCATCAGAGTTATTGAGAAACAGGTGGAAGTAATAAAGATGGACTTACATTGAAAACAAGTGGGAAAATACACAAACATAGGAAGTGAAATCAGACAAGACACAGGGAAAGAAAATGTTTTAAAAACACAAAAAACAATTGTGATTTCCAATGTCAAAGACACAATTAAAAATATTGTTCCTTTCCTGTCTCAGTTGAACAGTGTCCAGTCCTGAACCACAGCAGCATCAAGAACTGCAGCCACCCAATCGCCCCGTACAGCTTCAAGTCCGTCTGCCAGGTCCGGTGTGATGAAGGCTACGAGCACCGTGGACCAGACCAGATACGCTGCCACTACAACGGCCAGTGGACATCCATAGTCCCAGATTGTACAGGTAAAGTCATCACCTTTTAAATATACCCCCAATCATGTTTTAAACTAGCCTGTTACCTGTTTTAAACTGTAGTAATTGAAGGTTAAAAATGTGAATATCTTTTGTGAAATTCTCCGTAGCTGCCACTTTTCATGTAATATCCTATTGTGTAATACTTGACTCTTGCTAATAGATTTACAGCCACATTTTGGTTAAACATAGCTGGCCTCACATGGCACATGTTATCGCTTCATTTCAGACTCATTTTTGCCAGCATTGAGAAAACAGCATTGTAATTTAGTCTGGGTGGGACGTTATTGTTTCCTTTGTCTGTACATTACGTAAGAAATCATTCTCCCACCTCATGCTTTTGCTATGTTTATATAAGTGGAGTCACAATACATGTGTTTCATAAGAGCATTGATTTCCATTGAGTGGCCTGATTTGTATCTATATCCCACCCACAGTAAAAAGGTGCTCCCCCGCTTTCTTTCCTGTCTCGGGCAATGTGACCTGTGTGGACGCTGTGGAGCCTTTCTCTTTTGGTTCACGATGCAACTTCACCTGCCAGGAAGGCCACTACCTGACCAGAGACGACACATACACCTGTCTGTCCTCGGGACATTGGAGCAACCCTACACCTACATGCACAGGTGGGTCACAGAAATGATGTCAGGGCTCCCAGAAAGCATCAAAATCGTCCTAAAAACAAAAAATGTACATTGCTCTGATGATTGATAAGATTTCTTCTTCTGCAGTGGTGCGGTGCAACAGTTTAAAGGCTCCACCTCATGCCTCCATGCAATGTCAGGACCCAGGAGTGAACAGCTATGGCTCAATATGCTCCGTGCTATGTGAAGAAGGATTTGATCTGATTGGTGGAAACATGACGAAATGTTCTGCCCAGGGAAACTGGAGTCATGCACTTCCTGTTTGCCAGGGTACGTGATTAAGTCTGTTCTTTTTTCTCTTTCACCTTAAATTGAAAACAAGTTTGTGTAATCCGTCTCTCCCTTGTCTCTGTATATCTTCAAGCTAAGAGGTGTAACCCAATAAATCCTCCTCATGGCTCCCTATCCTGTTCTGACCCAAACGGACTGTTCAGTTTTGGGTCTCTGTGCAAGACAACCTGCGACGAGGGCTTTCTTCTAAATGGGACCAACAGCACTGAGTGCACTTCCCAGGGTGTTTGGAGTGCAGACATCCCACAATGCTTGGGTAAATCTGTTGTTGTAATTTCTTCCCCTGTACCACTTCACCACATGAAATTCAAAACATTACTAATCTTTCCCTCTCTCTGATGCCCTCCAGCTAAAATATGTCCCACCCTGAGCTCCCCCTCTCATGGCTCCTTAGTCTGCTCTGATTCTCATGGAGAGTTCAGTTTTGGTTCTCAGTGTGTATTAACATGTGAGGAGGGTTTTCTCCTGAATGGGACGGCTGACACAGAGTGCACCTCTCTGGGCACGTGGAGCACTGATATTCCACGTTGCTTAGGTATATTATACATCTTTAAATTATCATCTGGTAATTGTCCTCTATTGGAGGAATCTTCATTTAATGGATAAGATCTCTTGATTGCAGTTTCTTTTTTAATTATTTGGCTATATTTTTCTCTACCCCTCCAGCTCAAAGATGTCCCACCCTGAGCTCGCCCTCTCATGGCTCCTTAGTCTGCTCTGATCCTCATGGAGAGTTCAGTTTCACTTCTCGGTGTGTATCAACCTGTGAGGAGGGTTTTCTCCTGAATGGGACGGCTGACACAGAGTGCACCTCTCTGGGCACGTGGAGCACTGATATTCCACGTTGCTTAGGTATATTATACATCTTTAAATTATCATCTGGTAATTGTCCTCTATTGGAGGAATCTTCATTTAATGGTTGTGATCTCTTGACTGTAGTTTCTATTTAAATTATTTGGTGTATTGCTCTCTACCCCTCCAGCTAAAAGATGTCCCACCCTGAGCTCCCCCTCTCATGGCTCCATAGTCTGCTCTGATTCTCATGGAGAGTTCAGTTTCAGTTCTCAGTGTATGTCAACGTGTGAGGAGGGTTTTCTCCTGAATGGGACGGCTGACACAGAGTGCACCTCTCTGGGCACGTGGAGCACTGAATTACCCCACTGCCTGGGTAATAAATCATATGAGAGCTGAGCACTTTATTTGCCTTATTTGTTCTGAAACTCATATTTTTGGTTGCTATCTGCAGCACGGCCATGCCCCCTACTGGACAAGGCCCCACATCACGGGAGGATGAACTGCAGCCATCCGTACTCCTCTTTCAGCTATGACTCCAGCTGTGACTTTGAATGTAATGAGGGCTTCTGGCTGAGAGGAACACCAACTATGACATGCAATACCTCAGGACACTGGCGTCAGGATCCACCCACCTGCCAGCGTGAGTGCTTAACTTAACTCATTCTTGCTGTTCTGGTTATCCAACAACTGACATGACATGCAATTTCTGTCTTTTGTCTCAGCGTTACAGTGTGAGGCTATTCCTGCCTTGTTTGGATCCCTGTCTGTGAACTGCTCCCATCCTCTGGGGAACTTCAGCTTTGGCTCTCAGTGTATTTTTGCCTGTGAAGGGGGATTCTCCATGAATGGCACTGAGCTGTTGTTTTGCTCCTCCTCTGGGATTTGGAACGACAGCCGGCCAAACTGCACAGGTAATTAGATTTATGTCTGTGATGAACATGCAAACATGCTGATTTTCAACCCTTTATTAACTAACTACAGTGCACTAAAATTACAGATTGCTAAATGTAATCGGGTTTGCAGGAATTTGATCTTAAACTCAAACATTGGACACGTGTCTTATGTATTTTTGTATTAAGATTTGATGGTGGCGTTAAATAAACAATTAAAGGATAACAAATATGATCTTCCTGAGGGGGGCATAACAGTTATTTATATTGGTCAATGAAAAACCCAGCCTCATTGTGGCATTAGAGCAAATAAGACACAAAATTCATAAGAACACATCATCTGCCAACCATAATGTCTATTCTCTCATGTGCCAATCAGATAGAGGTTAAAAAGCGAACTGTGAAAGTTTACACATTCACCTGATGGTGGCGCCAGAGGGAAAGTGAGGGGATTCGCCAAACTGAATACCTGTACAAACTTTGACTGTGATGTGTCTTGTTGGGATATTGCAGTTTGATCAAGAAAACATTAGTTAGGAATAAATACAAAATGTTAAAAACTATGATCTATATTTGTCTCTGTAGAGGATCTGACAGTGTGGGCTGCCATGCTGCTGTCTTCAGGTTTCGTAGTAGCCTACGTGGTCGTGCTGCTGGTCCTGATTGGACTGGCTGTGTTGATCACAATGAGATTTAGAAAAAAAAGAGGTGAGACCGACTGAAATGCTGCTGTACAGTTTCACATATGCAGCATGTTGTAGCACTCACAGTTCATTCCTGTTTCTGATCTTAGAAAATAACATGATGTCTGAAGCACCAGCATGGGGAGACCGAGAGAACCCAGCATTTGATTTTGACTCCTGATTTTTCTAATCATTTCGAATTCTTTAACCTAATGCTCTCAATCAATATCAAGCTTGTTTACTATACAACACTGGAACCAAGAAATTGCACGTAGTAGGAATAGAGCTTTGCATTGATGGGTTATTACAATTTCCACTCGATAAAAATTTGATCATTTAAGATTCAAAGACTTAATTTGCAAAAGCGCAATATAGTGGAGTTGTTGTTAATGAAAGTCTTAAATCCCAAGCTAATTATTCACATTCTGCATGACAACCTTCTCATGTTCTTAATGGCACAAAGTACAGTCAATGTGCATCTTTTGCTCTCTGTCTTACTTTGTATATTGCTTGATTGACAATAAACTATTTTGAATTGTCTCCTTGAATGTATTACAGACTCACCAAATACCTCACTATAAAAGATGAATGGGATATTGATCACTTTTCTAGTCCTAGTCAAAGCTAAGTTGCAGCACATACCGGCATTCACCTATCACACACACAATGTATACACTGGTGGCAAAGGCAATACCATCAACTTGATTACTTATTATGATTCAGTACATTTACATAAATCTGGAGCAAATTTGAGTTTGGTATTTTGCCTAAGGACACTTTGAATTGTAGACTGCAAGGATCAGATATCGAAAGCTCGACCCTCTGATTGATCGACGACCACTCATGACCCACAGGAGGCTCAGGAGGCTGTGATTCTTTATCCATGTCCATCGGTGCTGAATGGGTTGACCCTGTGTTGCTGGTGCCCTCGCTAGCAGCTCAGTTTGCCCACATGTGACCTCCCATAGTGGAACTAATACTGAGGGGTCAATTTAGGAAGTGACAGAAAACCTTTGAGATTACCAGACTGCCACAAAGTGTCAATTTAGCATATTTAGTGTCCAGAAAGCTTGTGTCACTGAATGGGGAGAAAGTGATTTATTATCAGTGTCTGCTCAATGTGTCACACTGGGCACCTATCCAACCTTTAGGGACAATACATTGCCCCCGAAGTACAGTATCCTGGATTAACATGAACCTCTCATATGTTGTAGACAATTAGGGCTGTTGTATGTTTTGTATTTACTAATTTAGCTGTACATTAATTGTCTGGATTGTATCGATATTCTTCCCTATGGCTGTATCTACTGAATTGAGTCTTCCCAGTGCTTCTGTGCCAAACGTATACCCCCAGACTCTTAATGTGAGCTGCAAATGGCCAATGGAGTGTCTTCAGCAAAGCGTGTGCATCTGTCTTGGCGCTGCAACAGCATGAAGCCAATTATAGCGGTTAAAAGACAGAGGGTTTGTGGCCTGTGGTTGGCATGAAGGGTGCAATAAATAACCACACTGTCGACAGGAAACTGTTTGGCTATCGTCAGAATAATAATGAGGTTATTGCTACCCGCTGTGACCGTATGATCACGGTTTGATTATTTTTCACATCCCACCCACTGCTGCTGGCAACCATGCACACGTGCCAACTGTGCACAGACTCACACACAAGAAGGGGAAGTAGGGCTGCAGGTGAGCAGTGGCTTCATTTCCTGTAAGGCTCTCTTTATCTGAAGATACAAGGAAGTACATTATGATACTTCAATCCTTGGAGCAAAGAGAGTTGTTCCACCTGCACACACACACCGGCAGCAGAGGTGGAAGAAGTATTCAGATGCTTTACTTGAGTAAAAGTATCTGATATTATTCTCAAAATACTTCATTATAAGTAAAAGTCATGCATTTACTTAATCTTACTTAAGTAAAAGTACAAAAGTATTTCCAGAAAAATGTACTTAAATTATAAAAAGTAAAAGTAATCATGGTGTAGAAGAATTGCGTTTAAGTGTGTTTATAATTATATGTATATATGTGACATGTCCAGATCATATTCTTGCATCAAGTATAGTTATACTGTTGTAGACAAACCAAGTTCTGATTGACTTTTTATACAATTTGACTTGTGACTCAAAGAGTTAATCCACTAGTTTAGTTTTTGGAGATGCATTTTTTTATTTTTTTAATGTAGCTAAAGATGTTTAATAAATGAAATGGAGTAAATTACATTATTTCCTTTTTAAATGTAGCATAGTAGAAGTATAAAGTAGCACTAAATGGAAGTACTCAAGTAATGTACCTTAATATTCTACTTACATTTCACATAATGTTGTGAAGGTTTGTTGAAAGCAATAATATTACATTTGAATAACAAATTAGGTTCAACGTAATAGTAATGCCTTTAACTAACCTAATACAGTTGTGGGAAATGTGTTGACATAATACATTGAATTAAAGTCAACGTTTCAGTTTTGTTCAGTGTACTGTAGCCTACTGAAGTTCAATGTTGAGGTACTTGTACTTGAGTACTTCCCACCTCTGGCCAGCAGACACTAGCAGATACAGACACAGATACAAAAGCAGAGAAACACACACTGTGTATACTCTGCTGCACACTTCTGCAGCGCTGCTTGGCAGGAGCATACCGCGGTGACAGACAGTTAGATTGTTCCTGACCATTGACTTGCGCTCTCTGCTCGGAGAGGTCTGATTTCATAGTGGGAAATATGAGAAGGGTCCAGGAGAGGGTTCACGGCTGGGGCAAGGAGGCACTCCATACAGTGGGGCTTCATATCTCTGTGTCACCCTGGGCATTCTCCCCTGACACAGCTTTCAGCCCCTCCGTTGTCTGGGGGTTTTCTCAACCTCCCTCCCCAGGATCGGTGCATTCCAGCTGGCCACAGAGCCTGGGTGGTCCCCCTCCTCCCCTCCACTCCTGTATGACTGTGAGGAGGGAAAAGGCAGAAAAATGCAGCGAGGGCCTTTGACCGCGAGGAGCACAATGTGAGCGTTGATGATGGCGGCGTGGATGTGATGGTTACCTGCCACTGACCCGATACAGCTGTCATAGCCCGGCGTTTCACAATCTGATGATCCACCCAACAGTCGGGGGGGAAGATGCCTCGCTGACCTGTCACCTAGATCGGATTGATAAGCACCGAGGATGGACTGACCCGGCGCTAACCCTCAGCATGAATACCCCATCTTCATCATGAATCAGCCCCACATTTTACACATTCACTGTCTCATACAGTATCAACAGCATCTCTGAACCCATGACCTGAACAGAGAATATGAATTGCAACAAATCGAAGATACCGTGTCCCGCAATTTAGTAGGTCTCACTGAAGCATTCTTTTGCGCACCACACTGAAGAAATTAAACATTGACTTTAATTAAATGTATTGTCAACAGATTTCATATAACTGTATTGGGTCAGTTGAAAGCAATACAAAACCGTAATATTAATGCTTTTAACTTACCTAAAACAGATATGTGAAATCTGTTGACCTATACAATTAATTAAAGTCAACGTTTCAGTTTTTTCAGTGCATCTTCTTCATGAATCAGCACCATATTTTACACATTCACTGTATCTTACAGTATCAACATCATTGCTGGACCCTAACCATGTCCTGAACAGTGAATATTAATTATTACCATCAAATCGGAGATACAGGGTCCCATCATTTAATACTGTAAGGTTAGAATGAAACATTATTTTGAGCACCAGACAATGCTGAAATTAAATACAGAGAGTCTTGAGCATGTTTCTCTTCAGTGATCGTGATGTTTTGTTAAATGTTGTTCCAGGGCCGGCCCTGACCAATTAGCTGCCCTAGGCAAGATTTTAGCTGGCGCCCCCCCCCCCCAAATACAAAATTAAAACCTATAAAAACCATTATTTAAAAAAAAGAACAATTTCACATAAACCTCTAGTTTTTACAGCAGTAGGAGCTGTCCTAATCAAGTGAAGAGAGGGCTGTAATCTACTTCCACATTAAAAATGACACTTGACCCGCCCCCTCGCTCCTCCCCCCGCAGCCCCGGCTCCGGGGGCAGCGGGGCTGGGGCAGTTCAATTTACCTGATTTGGGGGGGGGGGGGGGGTTGCGCCATAGTTTATGGGTGCTGTATGCAATATAGGCGTAGTTCTGTTAAGATAAGATAATAGGATGTACTTTGTTGATCCAAAATCGGGAAATTGTTTTGTTATGAAATTTAAATAAAACATTTTTTTTAAATAAAAAAAATATTATTTATTTTCTTTCCCCCAATTTTCGGCGCCCCCCATAGGTTGATGCGCCCTTAGCATTCACCTATACTGCCTATGCCAAGGGCCGGCCCTGCAGTGTTCCCTTGTTTCTTGTCTTAAATATTTATCTCTGTTGATGTTGCAAATGGAGCTTTTGTGACGGAAGAAAAATGTCAGACTCGATCTGACAATAATCGTAACGTATAACCATTATTTATTGATCATTGTTGATTCAGTCAAGATAAACAGCATACACACATTGTGAGAATAAATACACACAAACAGTTATTTACATTAGTAGATGCAGTTAATAATCAAACAGAGAGGTCCGCGTCGTGCTAACACAGGAGCCTGCATGTGTCGTACAGATTGTAAAGCATTGGAGGCAGTAGTGTAATCGTGTTTAAATGGACATGCACGTTGCATATTGCATGGTGTCAGTGTACCCACGTCTCCCTTTTGCAACCACTTCTTTTACTTTCTTGTGCACAGTGCGTGAACAAAGGGATGAGGGAGACACACCGTTTCTCTCTGAGTCCGATCTCCACCCTCAGGAGGTGAAGTAAGAGTCCTGCATGGAGTAGAGGCGGTCGATGGGGGTGAGCAGAGAGGAGTCCCCCAGGGAGAGGCAGTCGCTGTCAGGCACGTGACACAGAGCGTCTCTGTCCATGTCTCCGTACAGACCCTTAAAACCTGAAAAATACACAATTAAAAGTATTTCAAGATGTGAAATATATGTCGATATATTTAATTATGCCAATATAAATGACTGTCTGTGATAAAAAAACATTAAACTTTAGTGGTAGAGACGTGCCGATTGTTGGTGGTTTTGTAATTTGATTGTACCTTAATATATAATTTTGTTGTTAATTTCCATTTTATGCACCATTAAATTATATGGTAGTATTTTGGATTCCTGGACAGACAATTACATGAGAGTTTAATGACAAAAGGAGCTTCTCCACCAACTGAACTAAAGTAAGCAGCCACAAAGAGACTATCATTTATTTTGTATTTTAAATCTTTCATTTGGTCCCTTGCAAAAGAGTAAATTCTACAGCACATTGACACAAAGCAGGACACGTTACTGCAAAGCTGGAGCAAAATAGGAACTACTGTACATGTGAGAAAGTAAACAAACTATAATGCATGTAAAAATAATAAAATCCTGATTATTCTTAAGTAATCATGTTGCAGAAAAATTGCCTAAATGATATGTATATATGTGACATTTCCATTTCTTGCATCAAGTATAGTTTTACTGTTACTGACAAACAAAGTTCTGATTGACTTTT